TGTGTTTTTCAAAATGATCAGAAGAAGCCCTTTTATAAGGTTCATGGGAGACAGATTTGAATTTCAGTTATTGCAATATTTGTAACGTCTGCAATAAAATCTATTCAATCCTTATAACGTTTGTAACGTACGAAACGTTCAACTGGTTTTAAGTGAGCACATGCAAAACGTTTAAGCTCGTTTAAAGAAAGCACGTGCAAAAAGAGCACGTGTCAAAACACGCACTTGGACCGCACACCCAGACCGTACGCACACGAGCCCGCGCACACTGTCCCGCTCGCACGTGCCCACTCGCTTGGTCGCACGCTCACTTATATACCAGCACAAGTGTATAATACTAACACCTTTGTTATACCATATATAACATGTGTGTTAATTTAAAACAACTAAAATGTATTTAATTAACCAATGTGGGACTAAAACTCACATACTACTTATTATAAATACATTTTAATTTTCATCTATGGAATCCAATCATTAAATGATATCTTTCCATAAAAATCCACTAAGATTCATTTATTTCAACAATAATTGTATACCCTAACGAGTTATTTGGAAAGTTTTATTTAGTACGATTGGAATTTTTCCTTAATAGGAATAGTTCTTGGTAATTAAGTTTTGTAAGTCTATGAAAGACTAGTTATCTTCAATAAAGGGTATGATGAAAATGTTATGAAATAATTATGATCACTATAGGTTATGTGATTTAATTTTGAGTGTTAACTCCAACTTTTGTAGGTGTGAGATTTTAATTGGCTTAAAGTCATTGATTCTGATGTAAGATCGAAATCTTTTTTTTTCCTTTATTGTTTTTGTTTCTTCTTTTATGTTTTCCCTATTTCACTATCAACCTAGTTTATAAAAGGCATTTAAACGAGTCCAGATCCTCTCAGAACCGGTTGTGTAGAGTTTTTTATGTGGAACCAGTAAGGGAATGCCAAGTGTCCACGTGAAGCAAACTGAAATTGTCAAATGCGGAAAGAATTCCCAGCCCTTGAAGCGTAATCAATTAATGTTAATCGTAGGTAATTATAATTATAACCAGTTCCACTAAATATTCCATGTGAATAGCTAAATCTTTCAATCACAAGGAATGTGAAAGGCCTTTTTAATTTAAAAAAACATAGATATTATCTTTCTGTTGATAGTGCCACACCTAGAGTAAAATTGAAAGCTTATAATGAAGTAAGTGTTCAAGATTATGATGAAGTATTAAAAAACAAATTAAAGTCTGGCCAAATGAAATTTCTTATGTTATTTCACTAGTATAGTTGGACGCTTCATGGTAAATGCGGAGGGAAATGCCCAATAACATGAAAACCTATGTGAAAAATAAAAAAGGTTAACTGCAAACATAACCTCAGTAGTATCAACTAATTGCAAAAAGATCTCAATAGTTCTATTTGTTGTGAAGAGACCCCTTATAGTTCTACTTGTTGCAATAGACCACCTGAATGAATATTTTTTACTCTTAAAATCATTACAAATATTGCAAGGGGCGGATAGACCCCTTATAGTTTTGTTGGTAATGATAAACACCTAATTGCTTTAAAAATTATACTTTTAAATGGGTCGAAAGAGTTCACTAAGGGAGTGTACTCACAATTGGGCCAATACTACGATGACTATATTCACAATAAGTAGAACTATAGAGTGTTCATTCACAATGAATAGAATTGCATGGGATCTCTTTGCAATTAAATGATACTATACGGGGCTCTGTTCGCAATTAACTCAATAAAAAAAGTGTATGTGACGTAGGGGATGCATTTGTATTTATGATCCTTCAATTAAGCAGATGCAAATAATTTAAATGTAAACGATAAGCAACTAGCAATTCTATGATAACACAAACTTTAAACTGATGATGAGCGACAAAAGAAGATTATTAAATTAATATTATAAGTTCCTATTATCTTGAAGGAAAAAAAAAGAGCTCATGAGCAAAGCAAAAACTAAATATTTGAACTATCATCATTCACGTTTTCAACAATAATGCTGCGTTTCGATGGGGTGTAAAGAGGGGGAAGGGAAGAGAATTTTAAGTTTAACTTCATTTGGGAGTTTTATTGGGAGGGTAAGGAGGAAAAAGGAAGGAGAAGTTTTCATAAAAACTTCTATGGTTTCTTTTACCCCCAATTTGGGCGGTAACGGAGGGAAAGGGAAGGAAAGTAAAATTTCATAATAAAAGAGACATCTTGACTCTATCATAATGAATCAATGGCTCAGATTTATTTACTTCTCTTCCATTGCCATAATTAAAAGTCTTCAACAACATAATTTCACTTCCATTCCACTTACAAAACTCCCAAACAAGATGTTACATTTTCCCTCCTTTTCCTTAACTTTTCTTCCCCTATCTTAATTTTCCTTGAACTCCTAAACATAGCATAAGTCCAAATAAGAATGGTGTTCTTCCTTATTAATGGCGTGGTGTTTCACAAAGATTTGTTATTCGCACGGACTTTTAATTGAATGATATATAATCAATAGTTTTAATTTAATTACTGTTTGAGGTTCAAAACTCTTTCCGCGCTTGGCGATTTTGGTTTGCTTCACGTGGACACTCAGCATTCCCTTATTGGTTCAGCATAAAAACTCTATACGACCGATTGAGAGGATCCAGACTCCATTTAAACATGTGAAATCATAGTGGGCAAGATTTATTTATTGGACACAAAAGTTAGCAAATAAAAACAAGCCTATGTGCATGCACACATTTGGAAATAATGGGTATGAGATGGCGACTCATTTTTCTAAATGTGCTACCTAGAAATAGCTAGTGATGCAGCCTATTTTGCTTGTCACATCAAAGGTGTGGATCTCACCACTTTATCTCTTGGTAGCTCATTTTGCTAACCACCTCATAACCATCCAAATATACGCGGAGGGACCTATGTGTGTGTTGATGTTTACGAGGTGGTTAGCAAAATGAGCTATCAAGAAATAACGTGGTGAGGTCCACACCTTTTGATTCCGCACAAGAGGGGATGGATGGAGGGCGTGAAGGCGAGCAAGGGAGGGGTCCAACTTGTCACAATGATCTCACCGCTTTATCCCTTGATTGCTCATTTTATAAGGAGGTCTATTTGCAATTAACCCTTACATTAACTTGATTGTGACCACCAAACTTTCATGCATCTCACCTCACCATTTAGATTATTTATGCCAACAGTGACCTGCAGGTTAAGTCTTGTCTTTTTTAGGGCGACGCAATATGGTTTACAGGTTGAGCTTGTAACTATGGGAAGAGGATGATGACCCAATAATGACAGTAGCCTGACTGCAAAGATGTTGGTAGGCTGGTAGCAATGGGAAGGAATTCTGGGAGATTGTTGAAATAGGTTCAAGAAGTTAATATCTGCATGCAAATATAGGCAATTCCAAAACTATGATTCTATAAGCTGGTAGTGAATACCGTAACTCCAAGGAAGTCTGAATTAGGTGGAAAAGTAACAGATTGGCCAAAGATAGGGCTCTGGAAAGACCTTTTCTTCTCTCGATTGTGACCATAGAAATATAGCTTTAGCCCTTTATTTACAAAAAAGTTGTTCATTTAGGATATATGTATATAATTATATTGTTACTGGCATTTGCAGCATGCAACTCTTAACTTTGTGACTACATTTCTTTCATGTGTTTATGCTTTTACTGTGTCTTTTTGTACTTACTGATTTGACCATAGATTATGGGTCTTAGACTCTTAGGTCATCAGTAAGATCCTCTAGCAATACTTACTGGGAATGGAGGAAAATTTACAAAGACCAAGGAAAAATCAGTATCGTGTTCACTTCCAAGGATGTTCGGTTAGCTGTTCAACTGCTATTGACTTGTCAGATAAAATCACCTTGATATGACATTTCCTAGTCAAGGCTTGTTTTTCTACCATAAAGTTGCAGATAATGGACAAACATTGTTGTGACCCATACTTGACCCTTGTTTCTGCTACATATTTTTTCAAACTGCCGGGGACCTGAACCTGAATTAACCAAATGATAGTTGAGTGGCTTCAGCCTGAGATCAGCTGAAATCACGGAGTCAGGTTATCAAGTGAGTCAAGTTGTGAAGGGAGCCAAGTCATGTGAGATACAATGTTTTGTCTTGCCTAGCATCATCTTTCTATTAGAATATTGGTCCCCTGTTTGTCGATATCTCATCAATTTTCTGGAAGGCAAGGTTGCATCTTCCCTGATATTCGTCCTCCTATAAATAAAACATGCCTTTTTATGGGTTGTCCAGTGTGTGCATGCGATCATACCACAAATGCTGACAGACATGCAGCGAGAAATGTGCATACATATTCACACTTGAGGCATATGAAGCAAGAGAAAGAGAGGAGGTCGGGAATAACATGCACATTATGAACAGGCAGACATGCGGATATGCAAGGCATCATTTAACAACATGTTTGGTGAGATATTTACAGTTATTTAGGTGTTCAATCTAACGTTCTTCTCCATCTTTTAAATATATGTGTCAGTGGGCACTTGGTGCCAGACCCTTAGTCACTGGGTAGTTAATGATGAAGGAAATCATTTAGCTTCCCGTATTACTTGCGTGGTCTAAAGGAAGCATGAAAGGTTGCCTTTTTTGCAATTCATTCATGTAGTGCTGTTTTCTTTTGTTGTCTTAGCCTTCTTTGTGTTGGTATTTGCATCCACTTCTATCCCTCTTGTGTATAATAAATTTCAGTAAAATAAAATATACAATTAATCCCGAGTATTGAACCGTTAGCTATGACTCATACTTACCTCAGTTCATTGGGATGAATGGACAAGATGGAAAAAATAATAATTCTGCCAAAAATGGACAGTTTTGAGGCTTTCTCAACATGGTACATGTTTCAGACGCTTCCTTATCTAGAAAAACAAAATTGAGAAATATTCATGTTACTTGTAAGAATAACTTCTGCATTTTTAGTGCATTCATTTCTGTATACTTTCCTTTTATATTTCTATTTTATCTTCCATGAATTCGGAACCCCTTTTCTTTTATTTTAGGGAAATGATCCAACACCGACCCTACGACCAAAAAGTAGACGTTTACAGCTTTGGAATTGTCTTATGGGAGCTGATAACAGGAATGCTCCCGTTTCAAAACATGACAGCTGTCCAAGCAGCCTTCGCCGTGGTAAACAAAGGCGCTCGACCCAACATCCCAAATGACTGTCTCCCTGTACTACGAGATCTCATGACCCGCTGCTGGGATGCTAACCCTGATGTTCGCCCCTCCTTCACTGACATTGTCAGAACCCTTGAGTATGCGCAGGTGGAGATCGGAGCCACCGTGCGCAAAGCCCGGTTCCGGTGCTGCATGTCGGAACCGATGACGACTGATTGAAGAAGAAAGGTTGAAGTGAATAGTGAAAGAAGATAGAATGTATTTAGCACCTTATATAAGTTTGTTATGCATGTATGTTGTTGTTGTTGTTTGCGTTCTATAGATGGTTATATTTTAGGTTGTGGTTGTTTCATGCTATAGCAAATTCCATCTTTTTCTTTAAAATCGAAAAGTTTTCTTCCTTCTTGGCAATTATGTGAATTTTTGCTCTATTAAAGGTTTCAGATTCTGACAAGCCAGCTGATAAAGTGTTCTCTGCGGTTTTATCTTGACATTGATGGATTGACTTTGGAAAGTCCGAACAAATCTTACAGTTCTCTGCACTTACTGACTACTACAAGAAAGTTTGAAAGTGAAAAGCAAAATGAAGATGGAATGTATTTGAGGCCTTACCGAGCTAGTTGCTGTATTGGGATAAAAGTTTGTTCTGCATGTATGTTTCTTCTTTGTTTTCTATAGATGGTTACAGTTGTAGATTGCTCTTTCGTTTCTTTTCCTATTGTTTGGAATCATTCTCTAGCAAAATTTATCTTTTGCTTTAAAATTGGATGTTTTTTTTTTCCTCGGCACACGTTGGAGGTTTTCTCTATTAATTGCTACAGATTGCAACTTCTCAGGTTGAGCTTATATCCGTTCATGACAGTTGATAGGTAGATAGCCTGTTGTGTTAGGGAGTATTTGGGCTCGCCTGAGAGTTGATGCATTTTTAAATAGAGGCTGGGTATCAATTTTTAACCTAAAAGCTTAAATTACTAGATATTGGCTTTAATTTTAAACTCATTACTGTTTCTCATTTTTCAGTATGTTGGAAGCCTGAAAGCTCCACTTCCCTGCAGTTACTGACTTTCACAGTCTAAGGTAATGTCTTTAACTGTGCCCCAAACCTTATCTCATTGTTTATAATGTTGCTTTAGTTTCATAGCGTAGATATTTTACAAGAAGACTAAATTGCTCTTAAATGTCCTATAGTTTCATCAACCTTAACACTATACTTAAGTGAATTCTATTTTAAAACCGAGCAAATAAATGTCTAAAAATATTTAAATATTATAAATAAATGCCTCAAAGTTAAAAAGAATCAGTTTCTCTACATATTCAAGGACACCACATAACAAAGGGTACTAAAGTATAACTTTTAGAAACTTAGGACATTTAGGTGAGGCTATTTACAAACTGAGTGCACTTATATGCATTTACAAACTGAGACCATTTATATGCAACATTGGCAAACAAAATGGCACCAAAGTGCAACATTTAAAAACTTTAGATTTAGATCAGCTATCTATAATATTTAAATATTTTAGGGTTGTTATTTGCTCGATTTTAAAATAGATGTCACTTAAGTACAAAATTGATGAAATTATGGAGCAGTTAAGTGCAATGTAGCCTTACAAGAAGTGATTAGGAATGATACTATATATCTGCTGACTTAGGCTGTGATGGTGTCTTGCTAGATACCGCATGCTGAAAGTATGGAAAATCTTTTCGCTTCCCATCAAAGTTATTGTCAAATCACTTTCTCAGTAGCACTCGTCTGTTATTTATTGGACACTTGTGATGCATGAAATGAAAAAATAAGAAAAATGTGTAAACCAATGGAAGGTAGTAAAGTTAGCTTTGAAAATGTGATTATCTTATCAAAATTTTAAAAAAAAAAGATCATCAAAATTTAATGGATTATAATCTAAAAATAGATTACAATCCATTAAATTTATCAAACACTCCAGATTATAATAATTTATAAGGTAAGTGGATTATAATTCAAAATTAGCAAACATGCTCCTAATGGTTAAACTTGAAAGAAGTTATTCCATATATCATGTTCTTGAGACAGTTGATTGCCTACTCTATTGTTTAAAATATCAGAGTATGAAATAAGAGATTTATCAATATCCATCATATATGAATCATATATTATGGAGAAAAAGATTGGGTCTATTGCGGATAGACCTCATGTACTGTCCACGATGGATTTTGAATTTTGCTCAATTGGTGTTCCATATACTATGGGGCTGTTTGGTTTGTTTCTCATTTTATTGGGATACATCATTTAATGATAAAAAGTTATTTTTTGAGTTTTTCAAAGTTTTCCATGAAATTGATTGTTGTTGGTGTTTGATTCACACATATAAAAGATGGTGGGAAATTAACTTACACGTTTTCCCTTTATTTGGTTGGTAGCTAAAAAAGGGGGAAACTTTTGGTTGATTATTATACTTTTCTTGTATTTGGTTGGTATTGAAGTTCCCAGGGAAAAATGTATATGATCATCATTGTAAGTTTACCTCTCGCTAAAGACAATTTTATTTGTGATCGTTATGGGTGGTAACCTTACCAAAAGAAAAGCGCTAAAATAATATATGAAACATGTATATAACCGAATTCATCATAAGTACGTGTTTGATATGGAAAATCATATGAAACATGTAACAACATGATTGCTCATAACTTGTATGAACTACATACCTGAATTAGTAGAAAATTCATATTAAACCTGTAAAAAAACCTAATTCAACGTAACAATGCGTATAGGTATCAACATGAGTGCTCATAACTGTTATGAACTACGTACTTGTATTAGCAGAAAATATATCGGCCATATGTATGTGAAATTTATGGCCGAGGGCTTAGAATTTGGTTAATATCATCATTGTTAGTCATTCAATGCAATGTCAATAAGCATGTTGCTAATCTCAGTTATTTTAACACTCATCATTGCTGAAAATTATATAAGTCACCAAATAAAACCCATGAATAGAATATTAAATGACAACCAAATACTTTCATAACCCACACTAGAAAACCATCAAGTACAATGTAAAATGTAAATACATTGTAAGTTGCTCACATAGTCACATACGAATTTTTCGATTGTCATGTAATTAGGGACAATAACCGAATTAATCATAAATACCCAATGATTTCCCAAAGTACAAAGAGACTAATGATTTCCCAGCGTATTCAATAGTTCACCAATATATACACAATATATTTAGCATGAATATATGGATTAATCATAACCAACGTGAAATAGGGGCATGGACTGTAAAATGCACAATGTGCCAAAAAAATCAAGCTCATTTCATAATTTTTTTAGAGAGCTACACTGCAAGTAGGGTTGTCCATTTTACCCGCTGGCCCGGGCCCGACCCGGAGCCCGGCCCGGGCCCGGCCGGGCCGCGGCCCGGAAATCCGGGCCAGGTCGGGTTCCGGGCCCGGGTCCGGGTGGCCTCAGCGGCGCCCGGCCCGGGCCCGGCCCGGCCCGGTACAGTGCGCCGCCGGGTCAACGCCCGGGCCGGGCAGCCCGGGACCGGAGCCCGGCCCGGGTGGCAACGGTCACCAGTGGTGACCGTTGCCGGAATTAGGCCGGGCCGGCCACAACGGTCACCAAATATACTCTTATACTCTCTTATTTATACTTTCTAATCCAATCCCCAAATGGCTTCCGGATCTGATTATGAAGAGCAAAACATATCTCCCGATCCTGAATTGAGTCCTCCTACTATGAGTCCTCCTACTATCAGTCCTCCTACCGAAGTTAATCCCGAATCCGGTGGCGACGAATCTGCACCAAGAGCTCCTAAACGGCCAAGATCCGATGTGTGGAATTTTTACGAGAAGATCGACGTCACCAAGGATGAACACGGTAGGATCCTCACCCAGAAGGCTAAGTGTGCTTTGTGCGGCAAGATTTTTCAAGCTCATCATAAGAGCGGCACCAACCACCTCAAACGCCATTTAGATAAACACAACAAAGGCCAGCCTCCTCAAGGTGATATCCGACAATCCATGATTTCTCAATCCTCCTCTTCTGGTAGTCTCGGTAGTTGGAACTATGACGCTGCCAGAGCCAGGAAATGCGTAATCAGGTTTATCATTCTTAAAAACCTTCCTTTTAAATTAGTAGAAGATGATGAATTTGAAGATATGTTTAGAGATGGTTTTTATCCTGCATTTAAAAAATTTTCTCGTCAAACCTGTCAACGTGATATTTTAAAATATTATCAGCAAGAACAAGAAAAAATAATTTCTTATTTTAAAAATTTAAACTGTAAATTTTCTTTAACTTCTGATATTTGGACATCTAGAGCACAAACTGGATATTTATGTATCACAGCACACTGGATTGATGAAAATTGGCAAATGTTTAAAAGAGTTGTTTCTTTTATTGCAATAGAAGAGTCACATACTGGTGCTAATGTTGCAAATTTAATAATTGAAGAACTTATGAAATTAGAAATTTCACAAAGAATATTTTCTCTTTCACTAGATAATGCAAGTAATAACAATGTAGCTGTTGATTTTATCAGATCATCTTTATCATTGCCATGTCATGGTGATCTTTTTCATATTAGGTGCATCTGTCATATTTTAAATTTAATTGTTCAAAGTGCATTTACTGAAATTAAACCCATGATAGAAAAGGTTAGAACAGTTGCTTACATGCATAGTGCTTCTGAACAAAGACTTAAAAGATGGAAACAATTTTGTAAAAGAAAAAATGTAAAGCCTAGACTAATTCCAAAAGATGTTGACCATAGGTGGAATTCCACATATGCAATGTTAAGTGTAGCAATAGAATATAAAGACATTATAACTGATTTTATAAACTATTATGCTTCTAGTTCTAGTTCTGGTAGCACTTATGGAATAACTGAAGATGAATGGACAGTTATATGTAATTTAAATGAAATGTTACAAGTTTTTTATGATGCTACCATGTTATTATCTGGCTGTTATTATCCAACCATTACTTTAGCTGCTTTACAAATTTTAAATATTCAAAATTTTTTTGATAAATATCGTTTGGATGCTACTTTTGGACCTATGGTTTTTGAAATGGAGAGCAAATTTAATAAGTATTTTAGGCCTATTCCTCATATTTTTGGTTTGGGGGTTCTTATTGATCCATGCTTGAAGGATATTGGCCTTCGAAGTTTGTTACAGTCATTGTATGGTGGACAGGTTATAGACTTAGATGATGGAACCACCCTGAATGCTACTACTCATCATTTACTTATTAGAAATTATTTTCAAACTTTATATGATGAGTATGCAGCTAGACATGGTGTAGCTGCACAACAGTCTGCAGCTTCGGTTTCTTCGAGCTCATCCCGAGCCCGAGGTAAAAGTGTAAGTTTTGATAGGTATGCAATGGTAGCCGAGCTAACTGGTGGATCTGGACTTGGATCGTCATCATCGGAGGTTTCTGAAATAGATGAATATTTTTCTGCTTCTTTAGTTAGATGTCAAGGAAATGCTTTAGATATTTTACAATGGTGGAAAGTATATGGATCAGTTTCATATCCTATACTTTCCACCATGGTTCGTGATTTACTAACAGTGCAGGTTTCGACGGTAGCTTCGGAATCCGCCTTCAGCACAGCAGGTCGTTTGATCGACGATCACAGGACATGCTTGGATCCATATACTGTACAAGCGGTGATGTGCCTACAAGATTGGTGGAGGTACGAGAAGCGAACGCAAGGCATCGATCGGATGGCTGGAATTGAAGATAAATTTGAAGAATTTGGACTAGCAGATAGATATAAAGAATAGATTGTAGTTTTTATATCTTAGCTTACAATTTGTAAAGAATTATTTTGGAAATAATTGCAAATGAAAGTGATATAGGTGAGTAGGTGCCAACCTAGTTGGGATTTACTTATCTATTGTGATGCGATTAATTCCAAAATAAATTTGTACTTGTAATTTGTAACTGATTTATCAATTATTAATAAAGAATATGTTTTTATCATTTCTTATTTGTAATTTATGTCATTTTAAGTAATTAATAAAATTATTGTTTTTGTTATTTTTCTTGTCTTTTTTTTTATAATTTATAAGTTAAATAACATTAAAAAATTTTGGAAAAAAATAAATAAAAAATAAAAAAAATAAAAAAAAAGGAAAATCACCCGGGCCAGCCCGAAACCCGGCCCGGGCCGGGCCGGCCCGGATGGACAGGCCTAACTGCAAGCACCAAATTATCACAATATATCCACACGTCAAAATGATACTCAGTGATAACAAATAAATTCAGACAACTAAAATCGCAAGATCACAGTGCAAAGCTCAAAATTCACAAGATCACAGTGCACCGAACAATGGTTCCTAGGGCAAAGAATAATTATTTCCAATAAACTTTGAAGGGGAAAACCGCAAGATCATAAATATTTCACCATTTCCTTTAAAAAAATCACTATAAAATTGAAAATTGCAAAAAAATATACTTGTAATTTCTGAATTTGCACAAACCAAGCAACAATCACAGATATTCCCCAAGAATGGCATTGCCTTTTTTTCAAGACCCAACAAAAATCACAAAAGAGGATAGAAATTAGCAACCAATTAATGATCTGAGGCAGCCTGAAGGGGGAAAATCCGCAAGCATCAGAGAACCAAGGTGCAACCCAAACACGAACAGAGATGGGGGGAGGCGGTAATCCTTGCAAATCACGGAAATCCCCCCTAATTCCTTGTAGATCTGACAAAGTACAACACAATGAGAGTTTTTCACTGATTTCCTCTCATCTTTGGATGGAAATCAGGTAAACGAGAGAGGCTTAGGTGGAGGGGGTTTCCAATGTTTTTCACCTGAAGAGAGGAAACGAACCAAAGCTGGGAAATGAAAACCCTGGAAACGATTTGGCTGAGGTAGAACCTTTGTCAGAAGAGAGAAATGGGTTTCTCGAGTGGTTTTAAGCGAACCAAATAAATTATCATGACTATATATTTAAAATCTATATTGACAATTATACTATTTTGTCCTTTTCTAGTGGTCTCGTCATACCCAATTTTAGTGGTGTCCTAAATAATAAGTATAAGTAAAACTAAAATAAAAATATGTACAAAATAGAAAATCTAGTGGTATCATGTGATACGACAGGATACTAGGGCTGAGCATGGTTCGGTCCAAACCGAAAAAACCGACCGAACCGACCCGAACCGACCCGAAAAAATCGGTTTTAAAAGCAGGACGGTTCGGGTCGGGTTGAAAACTTTTCAACCCGAACCGACCCAAACCGACCGAATACCCCATGGTCTAAATACCCAATCTGCTCAAACCCGACCCGTCCCCAAAGATAAAGTCTCAGACTCTCAAACCCTAAACACCTAAACTTCCCTTCCCCCTTTCCCAGCCGCCTCCTTAGTTCCTCTCTCTCACTCTCTCTCACTCCTCAGTCCTTAGTTCCACGGTCCACCTCTCTCACTTCCTCTTCCTCTTCCTCACTTCCACAATCTTCATGGCCGAGGCCGAAATATCTCCTCAGGCTCAGGATCTGTCTCCGGCTTTGGGGGGGGACACCCGCACCCGTCGTCGTCACCGAGGCCGATGTATAAACTTTATCTTTTTCTTTTCTTCAAGCTTCTGACTGCGATTATTCTTTAATTTTGATTTATTTCCTTGGATACAGCAACTGGTAAGTTGAGATATCGGCCTATCAGTTTCTTGTTCATTTATGCACTCCTATTCTCTTATGGTTTCTGAGTTTGTGCTTTGATAATGATCCTTAATTTGTTTTCTGGTATATATGTTTTCACGGATGGTGATTTTGTTCTTTTTTCCCTCTTGTTTTTCCAAATTAAGTCAGCAACCCTTGAAATACTACTGTTTAATATTTGTGGGATCCCTTGCCCGTCACGATATATTCTATTTGATTTAGTATTTGGCAAGTCTACTGTTTAAGTCATTCTGAAAATGAAGTTAGAACCGAACAAACCGAACCGAACTTCACCGAACCGACTTGCAATGGTTCGGTTCGGTTTTGAATTATATGCGGTTCGGTTTGGTTGCTCAAAATTTGGTAAAAACCTATCCGAACCGAACCGTGCTCAGCCCTACAGGATACTATGTAGCTCAGCCAGTACTACTAATGATTTGCCTCTAGCTTTATTGCTGCGTATAAACCCCTCATTTGAATTTAGATGACGCCTTCTTGTGTTAACAAATATATTTTCTAAAAATAAAAATAAAAAAGTAAAAACAATTCCGCTCAAAAAGGTCTGTGCGCAAAACTAAGACCAGAGGTGCAGTGAATTCAAACCAATAACAGGAGAGAGAGGATCTATCCACCATTATTAACCCAAAAAGAAACTACCGTGGAAAGTAAAATCTTGACGGATATTAGGTTAACCAACACGTCACTTAAATAAATAAATAAATAAACCTTGCAAATTTCCTTTTTAGCACAGGAATATTTCATTTCTGATCCTCTCTGATTTGGACACGGAGCCAACAAAGGGGCACCGTTTCTTTTACTTTTCCTGTCGTTTTCTCGCCGAGAAATTTGCGAGAAATGGAATCCTTTCATTGCGTTCGCCCGTTACGACACCTTGGACCGTATCTGCATCGGGTCCAACCGCGTAATTAGGGATACTTAATACCTCGATCAACCAGATACTGTTTAATTAATCACCTAACTGACGCGTCACAACAATTTATTAATTTTCCTTCCAAGGACACTTTACCAATTATGATTATTAATTAATTAAACTATAATAAAGGGGGTAAAGGGCAAAAAAAACCGACGACTGACTCTTTCTCTCTCCTCTCAGCTTTCCACTGGACGAGACAGAGAGAGAGAAAGAAAGACCCGACCAAAAAAAAAAAAAAAAACCCTAACTAATCTCCATTCTCTCTGCGATCTCGTCGTCCGCTGCTCGGATCCGGTTCTCCGCCGCCGGATTCTTTCTCGATCGAGGTGAGTGTCGCTGAAATCGGCGCTGCTTGCTCTGAGATCGAGCGGATTTCTCAGTGCCATTGATTTTAGGGTTTTTAATCTGTTTTCGGCAAGATTTTAGCTTCAGATGTAGCAAGAGCTCATCTTGGATCGAGATTAGGCCTGAATTTGCTAGCTTGCGTCGTTTCTATTTAGGGTATTGTATTTAGTTTGGGGTTAAGGATGATGGAGGGTAGTAAATTCGCTGGGATCATTGGGGGCGTTGGAAACGACGCAGGGAACAGTTACTATGACCTAGGATTTTATAGGAAGCTAGGCGAAGGCTCCAATATGTCGATCGACAGTGTCGGGAGCCTTCAGACGAGCAATGGAGGAGGCTCTGTTTCGATGTCGGTGGACAACAGTAGTGTTGGGTCCAACAACAATTCTCACACTGGGATTTTGCATCACCCGGGCCTTCGCCCCGTTCATCCTTCGGATTACTCCGTCGGCGGTCACAGTGTGTTTCGTCCCGGGAAGAGGAGTAATCATGTACTTAATAACGATGCATTGGCTCAAGCTTTGATGGATCAAAGTTACCCGACTGAGTCCCTTCAGAATTACGATGAATGGACCATCGATTTAAGGAAGCTTAATATGGGAGCGGCATTTGCGCAGGGTGCTTTTGGAAAGTTGTATCGGGGTACTTATAATGGGGAGGATGTTGCGATTAAGTTATTGGAAAAGCCCGAGAATGACCCAGAGAGGGCTCAATTGATGGAGCAACAGTTTGCACAGGAGGTGATGATGCTTGCTAATTTGAGGCACCCGAACATTGTGAGGTTTATTGGAGCGTGTAGGAAACCGGTGGTTTGGTGCATTGTGACTGAGTATGCAAAGGGAGGGTCAGTAAGGCAGTTCTTGATGAGGAGGCAGAATAGGGCGGTGCCGCTGACAACAGCAGTGAAGCAGGCGTTGGATGTAGCGAGGGGAATGGCCTATGTGCATGGGTTGGGGTTCATTCACAGGGATTTGAAGTCAGATAATTTGCTGATTTTCGGAGATAAATCTATTAAGATTGCAGATTTTGGGGTGGCTAGGATTGAGGTGCAGACTGAAGGGATGACGCCGGAGACTGGAACTTACCGTTGGATGGCTCCGTAAGTTTACCTCTTTTATTCTTATTTTACCTAATTAAGTTTTTACTTCTTTTGGTGCTTCTACCCAGTATAGTAGTTACACGTAAGACTTTATTATCTTAATCGCATATAAATTAGTTGAGTTCTCTCTGCAAAAAAAAATTATGTTCAAATGAACTGACTAACTACTTGGTCAGTTGCTTGGTTAGAAAAGTTAGCTTCTTTATACATTGATGGAAAATATTGTTAGAATGCTTTTACATCGAATCGTATCATTTAAAAGTTAAATACTGGTGAAGATACTAGAGTATCACGATATTTATATGAATCCAGGACCGAGCTATTGTTATATTGCTTTTATTTATCTTCTGACGTAATCTCTTCATACTTTCCATTCTTGCTTTTCCTTACGCATGCTAGACCTTGTAGGTGCATCTTGTACCTTTGCTCAGGAACCTTTAGTTTATACTAATACTTTATAGTTTATGCCTAAATCTGGAGGTTTCTTTCACTAGAAGTTCTAAATGACTAAAATGATTAACATTACGAGACCTAAGATGAGTTATAGAAGAAATGATGTGAGGATTAGCATCACAGAACCCTATGATGAGTCATGAAATTTTATAGATATGGCTGTATAATTGTCTTCGCTGGGAGCTTAAGATTTTGTAAGGTGAATTTTATATTGTAATTAGACTGAACCAAGACCAGAACCTAAATAATATTGAATTTGTTGTGCTATATAGATTTTTACTGGGTTTTGAATGGTGAGATGGATATGTTGGTACTTGATTATTATAACCCATATCTTAGGTTCTATACACCGCTGTCATTTCTCCTCAAAGTCAGATGTTCTATTTTTTTTAGTCTGGTTCGGCCAGGGATAAAGCAGCTTTGGAACCAAAAGCTTAGGCTTGTTTCTTTTATTTCTCCCTGGTACATTCATGCATTTGGACAAACAAATGTTGGTTGATCTAAATTTCCCTACCACCATGTAATATTTGTAGAAATTGTGAACTCTGATATGTAGGACAATTTCGTTTCAGACACTTACACTTGTAATTGTGTTGAAAAAGTGCATGCAGGAATATCATTTGATGCCTCCCATTAAGTAAAGTCTAATTGTTGTATAATTAACTACTTAAAAGGATTTTTGGGATGAAAACTAATATTTTCCATTTAAATATACATACATTTGAGAAAAAATAGACTTATATGTTTGAACAAAATAAAGGTTTTTTAAGGGTATTCGATCTCCTGAACTGTAAGTTGAGAATCTAATTCAGCTACCACTGAGCAATATATTTTCAATAAAAGATCTCAACTAACCCCTCAACATAATACACCTCCCCTCAAAACAATCCCACTACCCCCTCAACTCCCCCATTAATCTCTAAAATAACCCTCTCAATCCAACGTCTCTCTCCCCTTAATTCTCTCTCTCCTCTATAATAGAGACCACCCCCTCAATCACTGGGGGAAAGGTTCTTCTCTCCAACCATCCATAAATGAAGGAACCAAGCCCATGTGCTAGCAAAGTCAAAAGCGCAATCAATAAAATTTGTCTTTGCTCCATTTACTGTTATGATTATTTATAAGTCTCTTAATCAAAGGTTTGTTTGGTTCAACCCAAATGATAATTAACAATAGGGGCTTGCGCCTACTGGAAGCATGGGTCGGCATAAAAATAAAACCCTATTTTAAGGGTGAATTTATGAATCTAAATTATCTGTCTTGATTAAGTCTTTAAGATGCTCTTACTCGCATTCTAATTAAGGGAGGCAATTTTGATCACACAATATAGTCATGCCCTCATCCTGGTTTCTCAACTGTGGAGAAGTGTTTGCAAATCATAGGTACATACGGCTAGCTTGCATCTAATACTCTTTGTTGGAGTATTTTTTTAATATGATATTTCTTTCCTTTATATGAGGACAAATCAGGGTCGTGTCAGCAAAATTCTCCCACATCTGAACACCACTTAAATGTGATTCTCTTTGCAGAAGCATGCAGTTATTTCTATTTTGTTATATTATAAAATCTCCACATTCTTAGTCCTCTGGAAAAAGGGATGTTACACTGTTCTTTTTTTAGTAACACTTAAAATATTTTCTTTCTTAGCATCTTAGTCTTTGTCGTTTCTTATAATGATGCTGTTAGGTAGAATTCCCTTTTCTTTGTCATTCTTAATTCCTTACTATTTACAATACAAAAAAATCCATGCATTTGATATTTTTGTTGAGGGAGATTTCGCAGTTGAATGCTTGTGTTATTCAAAGTTGATGACCATACCTGTTTGATTATAATACGTCATTTGAAACCTCAATGGTTCAGATGTTCAGTTACCCTCTTGCGTGTTCGTTTGAAACCTGAATGGTTCAGATGTTCAGTTACCCTCTTATGATGTCTGTTGTTAAACTCTACTTTCTGAGAAACTTTTTAATGTTGACAGTTTTGATGCTCAGATGTGAAATGGTTCCATATTCACTTCAAAAACAGAAAGTCCCCTGAAAGTCAATATTTGACAATTACAAGCTATGAAATTACGTACTTGGGAACTTTCAGTGAAATTTCATATGTTTTTCTTTTTCTTTGCATATGCGTCTATTCCCAATTTGTTCTGTTGCATCTTTTCCTTCTTCAATCACAATTTCCATATATACTCTCTACAATACTGATCTGTTAGTGTTAACCATCCTGAGACTGTATTTAAAAGCTAACATTCATATGACTACCTTAACATATATCTAAACGGTTTATCTACTTTGGCCACAGTATTGTTTTTTTTAAAATCCAAAGAGAACATGATGTACATAAGTTCTTGAATAGAGTGAATTCATGAATGATGTAGTATCTAACTCTGGAATTTTCTGCTGAAACATGGCATTTATCATGACGAAGTGTGCTTAAACATTGATAATATATGTTTCTTCCTTTAAATAAACCAAGCAAGAAATAACGTACCATAGGCTAAATGTTTCTAAGGTTCATGGGTTAGAAGAGTAGATGCTTCCTACCAATGTTAAATTTGATGTTCAGTGATAAATAAAGAAATAAATAAATAGACCAGATCTTTATAACATTCTTGGGGTGGCTGCATGAATCTGTTTCTCATTCACTTAGTTAAGTTTGACATGTATATCAAGTTTGTTATTTTTACACTAGTCCTAGGCCCTCGTGGCGCCTTCAACTATGGGTCTACCAAGTTTCCTAGTAAAAGGACTTATTTCTAAATTTGTGCTTACACATGTTCAAGACCATCTCAAGATATTTTCTTGTCCTCACTCACCAGTTAACCTCTAGTTTTTATGAAGATACTCTGTTTCTTATATTTTTATCATATTGCTGCTTATCCATCTGGGATATGTAGAAGTACTAAGCCACATCATTGTTGTCATCATCATCTAAGTCTTCTTCCATCAAAACGTGTTGAATGTGATGCAAGCTTCATGAATGATTTGACAGTCATTTACTGGCTATAAGCTGACACTGATCCTCTTAAGAACACTTGGTTCCTTCTATGATAGTGCTAGAGATCTAGAAGAGGAGGGGCTGCATTTAATTTTGAGGCCCAAGTAAAGGCTAGAGTAAAATAGAACTCATTTCTGCCCATACTAATTTACACAATTTGAGGCATCTTTTATGAGATGTATATGTAAAAATATACTTTTTTATGAATGTAAAAAGTGCACATGCTATGGATGTGAAAATTCTAATATTTTTTATGTCCTTATATGCAATGAAAGTAAAAAAAGAAAAAGAAAATAAATTGAGACCCTAAAAGGTCAAGAAGAATGTTAACCTGCTATATATTTCATATCAATATACTACTATTTTGAAAGGTTTAGGAGATTAAGTTTCTTATTCATAACTTTTCTTTATTAAATTTTAATTATTGTTTGAGTAGGCTAGAGTCAAATAGAACTCATATCCGCGCATACTAATATACATAATTTGAGGCATCTTTTATGAGATGTATATGTAAAAATATATTTATTTATGAATGTACTCTAGGTAAGTGCACATGCTATGGATGTGAAAATTCTAATATTTTTACATCCTTGCATACAATGAAAGTAAATAAAAAAAAGAGGAAATAAATTAAGATCTTAAAATGTCAAGAAGAATGTTAACCTGCTATATATTTCATATCAATATCTTACTATTTTGAAAGGTTTAGGAGATTAAGTTTCTTATTCATAGGTTTTCTTTAGTGAAATTTTAATTATTGTTTGAGGAGGTTTCTTTTAGTAGATTAAAATATAATTATCTATTATTTGTTAAAACTGAGAGAAGAAATAGTTGACTAATTAGAATTTGATGAGTGGGATCATTTAGATTGTAGACGCGAACTCTAAATATTAAAAAATAATAAGAGATTCTATTGTATAATTCTTTATGTTATTTGCTTGAGATAATAATAGGATAGGTGCCTTCCTAAGATTGCCTTTTTTAAGAAATAATTGGAGATAAATAAAGAGGGAAAAGATAATTAAGCACTTAGATCTTTTACCATGATTAGATATGCATAGAAATACATTTAGAAACTTTAGAGATTTGATTTCTTTTATACATTTGAAACAATTCCTAATATATTTTATGTAGGTGTGCATGTTGTGCTTCTCATATTTGTATGTACATATATAGGTATGTGTATATGTATGCATGTGTGTATGTATGTATGCATGCTTGCAGTCTTCAAAAAATGTAGCACAACAAGGTAATGTATCTACGTATGTATTTATGCAGTCTTAAACATATGAAGCACAATAAAAATATCATTTCACGTATGTATAAACAAGAAAGCTCTTTGGCATAGCCAGG